TGTAGAACATAAACTGGCAGCTTTTGCTGATGATCTGCTGTTTTATGTGGGGAATCCCAGGACAACACTCCCAAATTTAATGAAACTGCTGAAGGAATATGGAGAACTATCAAACTTAAAAATCAATCCAACAAAAACTGAGATCTTAAACATAAATATCCAAAGAGTGAACAAGAAAAAATACAAGAAGAATTTCCCTTTATTTGGAAAGAAAGAGATATAAAATATTTGGGAGTAAGGCTTAGCGCGTCGTATAAAAACTTGTATAAGCTAAACTACATTTCTTTATTAAATGAAGTAAAGGGGGAATTAAAAGCATTAGAGAGAGGAATCCCATCGTGGTTAGGACGTATAAACCTGGTAAAAATGATAATTGTACCAAAAATCTTATACAGATTCCAAATGATACCAATTAAACTCCGGAAGTTTTTTTTAATGTAATAAAAAGAAGAGATGATAACGGGATATATCTGGAGGAAGAAAAAACCAAGGGTGTCCCACGAAATACTAAGTAGAGATAAAGAGAAGGGTGGTCTGGGAGTCCCAGATATAAAGAGATATTATAAAGCAGTATTATTAGGGAGAATTTTTGATTGGACGTTTAATTCAGAGGGGAAAAGTTGGGGTAAAAATAGAAAATACACTTAGTGGAACCAATTTGAATAGAATAATATGGCTACCGGACACAATATAGGGGTTTTTTGAAGGAGGATTTAAGTTTGTACACTGTAAATGTATTAAGGGGAATGGGATAAAATACACAAATATATGAAAATGGGAATTTAAATTTCTATACTTATGCCACTGAGAAACACAGAGTTTTTTTCCACCAGGTAGAGAAGAAATAACCGGTAGATGGTTTATAAAGGAGGATGTCCAACTCAGAGATATAATGGGGGGGAAAATGGGAAAACTGAAGACCTTTAAAGAGTTGGAAAAAGGAAAAGGGATATATATTCACCAGGCTAGATGAGTGGCGTTACTATCAATTAAAACGTTTTTGGGGGAAACCTTCCAAAACCCCTGAGAATGAAAAAAGATTGGAATTTGTTTGAGAGGTTGCTGGATTCACGGGGTGATGGGAAACATGGAATAGCTAAAGTATATGGAATTCTCACAGATCTAGACACAAACACTAAAACCATTGCACATTGTAAATTGGGAAAGAGATATGGGGGGTGGTATTAGATGAAGGGAAACCAGAAGAAAAATAAATAGATTAGTCCACGGAAAAATGTAAGTTTGAGGGATGTAGAATTAAATTATAAATGTCTGACAAGATGGCACATTGTTCCGAGTGTGAAGGGTAAGATAAGTGCGGAGAAATCACAGTGGTGTTGGCGAGAGTGTGGGGAGGGTGGGGACAGCTTATCATATTTAGGTGGGAATGTCCAAAGATTCAAATATTCTGGAAAAAAATAATATATCAAATAAAGAACATCATTGAAATGAACATCGGGTTAGACCCTGGGATGTGCCTGCTACACAGTTCAGAGATATCAGTTAGTAAATATAAGAAATTAGGTTTAGGGTACTACTTGAACGCAGCAAAAAGCCTGATCCCCAAATATTGGAGAAAAAAGAAATACCGAAAGAGGAGGAGTGGATAGAGAGAGTAAATTGGACTAGAAAGATGGAGAAGACATATTATATACAGGAAAATAAACTGGAGATATATATCGAGAAATGGTAAAAAAAATGGGGGGGGAAAACTTCGTAATAAGTATGAGAAAAATGGAAGAGTAGAATGTCATAGAGAAAAATTTTGGGTAGGATATGCTTGCTTTGGATACAAGTTAAGGAAATGCAGAATGGGGGGGGTCAAGGTTTTAAGAGGGGGGTAATTGAAATAAAAAGGAAAAACCGTATATTTATGATGATTGAGATGAAATTATTTATTGTTATTTTTGTGATATAATTATTAATAAATATTTAAATAAAATAAAAAAAAAAAAGGAGGGACCACATCTCACTCCCTTTTTGCTAGATAGACATCGGCCAATGTATTGTGAGCCAGGTCTCTTGCAAAAATAAAATCTCAGCATCAAACTCACTGAGCAAAAAATAAGGCCGTATCACGAGCTCTTGCAGATTTAATGCTGGCGACATTTAATGGTCGCCACCTTTAAACAGAGTGGAAAACTGCCATGATCAGGATGATTGGGGTAGTCGTTTCTTAACCTCTACCACACTCTCATCACCCGAAAAAGCTCTCTTCAGAGTACGTTGACTCCCCCTCATCCATAGATGATAGAGAAATGGATATATCAGATACCATCTCATCACCTGACAAAACTGAAAAAGTATTGCCAAGAGGGACCCCTCCTGGATCTGATTCTGAGGAAGAGAGGACAGCTCTTCTCATCCTCCTCTTCTTCTTTTTCTTCTCCTTCACCCTCTCCCACCCCTCATCAGCCGAAACCCCCCCAGCAGGAGGTGAGACATGGGACATGGATACCCCTCCCTGAGCCCCATCGGCTCCACCCCCATCCGGCACCCCCACAACCTCCTGACCACGTTTGCGCTGACGGGGGACAGGTACCGGAGGTGGAGTAGGCCGAGAGGGAAGATCCGCTAAACCCGCCCCCCCAGCAGCTTCCGCCAGTCTGGAGGATCTACGTACCGTAGGAACAGGAGGGGACAGACTCAGGGATGACATTACTGGGGGAAACACAATCTGACACAACAGAGGGAACAGACACAGGAGGGGCAACAACAGTTTCCTCCCTAGCATCAGCTTTGCCTCATCCTCTTTATCCAGCCTCTGCAGCTCAGCCTCCAGTCCTGGCAGGTTGTGTAGTGCCTCTGGGCACAGACTGTATGGATGACCCAGCTGCTGGCACAAATTACACCAAATCTCGGTGCATTCTTTGGCCAAATGGCCAAAATCCTGGAACAGTGAGCACTTCTTGATGGTGCAGGATGATGCAAAATGACCTTTCTCTCCGCATTTGTTACAAACTTTAGGCTGACCTTGATAGAAAATGGTCAGCCTATCCCTCCCCAGAAAGGCTGAGCAGGGAAGATGCTGAACCACATTGCCCACACCCTCAATTGCACTGACACCGTCCAGGCCCCTGTCCATATCCTATGCTCATCCAGGACCTTCCGCAGTGGGGTGAGGACCTCACCATGTCGGCGTAGACAAACTACCAAATCAGCCTCTGGTATGGGATTCATTCCGGACCAAGATTGTCACCGATTTTATCAAAGGCTGTCTGGAAACCACCTTTGCCACCAAACCTTTCCACTGCTGAAGGCTCCTGCACCTCCAATATCTCTCCCAAAACAGGTCCAGGCCTTCAGGTTTTACAAATGACAAATCATATTCATAGCTGCCGACTGGACAGATCAATGCAAACACATCACAGGTTTTTTAAACCCCATCTCTAGAATCAACTCCGCCACCCTCCCCCTTACTGGTGGGTTTCCTTCCCCCTCCCACTTCAACTGCACACATTCCTTCTCCTGACCCCACCAACCATCCCACCACGAAACCTCCCAAAATTGTGACCATTAACATTCGCAAACACTACCCTCACCCCCCTTGGACACAGCAACAAGTGAGACATCCATGTGTGCTGTTTGCTCTCCACATGGTGCAGTGTGCTGCTCCCCTCCCCCACCAGCATCAATCAGCTCTGGAGCACCTGGGAGCTCAGGTGAAACAGTCTCTCTGCAGGGGCCAGCCATCTTGCCTGTAGAGGGACTACTGGTCTCAGCAGCAGCAATTTCCATCTGTAAGGTGCTTGGTGCAGGTTCAGCCACATTCCCCTGATGGTATGGAGACCTCTCTGCCACTCGCTGATGTCTGGCTGGCAAATCTCCTCTCATTTTCAAATTTTTCTTTAAATGCACCACTTCTTGTTTTCAGCTTTTCCAATAGTCACAAATCTATCAATAATCTTCTGTCTGAAGACATTGACATCCTCACCAGGGCCGGGACCCACAGTCAGGTCCTCCACCTCCTCCTCTTTACTAGGCCCGGTCTCATCAGGGTAATCCCTCCCAGGGCCTCCCCCTGGATCAGGCATGGTTCCTGGGCCAAGCTAGCAGGCAAGGCCCAGGCTTGAAAACGCTGGTTCTCAGGGAGAGCTCCTTCAGTGTGTCCTCCTCCTTCTCCCACTGACCACCAATGTAAGGGACATTATTCCCACTGACCACCAATAAAAGGGACATTCTTCCAACTGATTACCAATGTGGTCAGTTTTGGAGTATGATTTAGGGCTAGTTTGGTCTTCCTCTGGACCAACAGAAGGCTTAGGGATCTGCAGACTAAAACATTTTTTAACTCAATGAACACGTGTCCTTTTTTATTTTTCCTGAATTGCTATGAAAGTATTTTTTAGGGTATTTAGATAATGTTTGGACAATACGATTCCTTCTGGTCTTTTCAGTTCTTTGTTATGTGAAATCTAACTTCTACTTCTGTCCTAGGTATGGTTCTTGCCCTTCATCTGTATTCTGTATTTGGTTCTACCCTGACTATCACTCTTTCTACAGCTCTGCCTGAACACCACTCGCCCTGACCTTGGCTTGAGTCAGAACTTCTCTGTTTTGCCATTTTCCTTGAAATCTCCCTGCTGGCACCCCAGTTTGGTTACAGATTAATCGTTTTCCAATTAACTTCATAATTTGTCCTACTATTCACCTGCCTTATAGTGCGCTGTTAGCAGTGGAAACCTGAGGGCTGTGGCCTTGAAAAGTCATGAAAGAATATCTATATTTCCTTGCCAGGGCTCCTGGCATCCATTCCTTGCAAATTGAGAAATGTGACAAGTGAGTGACCAAATGTGTACATAGCACCACATCCCTATAATTAGGAGTATAAGGATGAAAAATTTGGGATTTTGAAAGTGCAAAAGTACGACAAGAAACGTATATTAAAAATGATTACAACTTTTATTAGACACGCTCTATAAAAAATATAAATTGATACAATACTGAAAAGACAAATCTGAGAGCTTGGCTGTATTCGGGGGTGGACTGATCATTTGGAAACTGCCCGAGGGCCCGGGGTCAGTAGGGGGCCCCATGAGATGCCCCTGGTACCTTTTTCATAGGCTTTTTTGAGTTTGGGCAAGGACACAGGGGCCCCATGATCCCCTATTGTCCGGGGGCCCCATGAGTTGTCAGTCCGTCTCTGAGTATAGGCATCTCTTCTCTTACAGCGTAGATAAAGTAAACTTAGAATGGGGATAGGAGCAGGATTGATGCGGAATCGCACTGCATCTGAGCACCACAAACCAAAAACACTATTTAGTTAATTTTTTTATATTCAAAGCAATCTCCCCCCATCCATCCATGTTTCCATGTTTTATTTGGCTGGGAAATAACTTTGAAACTCACCCCCTTAGTATTTCTGGCCATGGCCATCTTGAGTAAGGGCAGATGATTCATGTAACATCAACTGGAATCCATCTGCTCAGGCATGCATGCAGGGGGTATGCTTAGCTGAGAAAACCCCCGCCACCTTCCTCCCCTTCTGATGACTCCTGGGATGTATGACATCATTTGCCTAGACCAGAAACCAGGAAGTAACTGAATAAATGTTTAAAAAAAAAGTTTAAAACAAGTAAATATGATATAGTTTTCTATCTATTTACTAATGCTGGTAGCAAAAGGATTTAAAATAGTCAATGTTGACTGAGAGACTAAAGTTCTGCTTTTAGCTTAGGGTTTGATTTGCCTTCCACTTTAAGTCATTTGTTGTTGCTGCCCATGGTGTTGAAGCAGTTTATCCTGACCGCATGGCATGATTTCTAACTTTCTCTATTTTGCCATTCTGCTTAAAAGCCCCCCTGATGACACCCCAGCTTGGTTACAGATTACACATTTTCCTATTAATTTCAGAACTTAATAGTGTTAGTCCAAGGGTGTTGAGTCCATTTCATTGCGGGCCGTATCAGCATTATGGTTGCCCTCAAAGGGCCGGTTGTATCTGTAAAACTAGATGTCCAAAGCACCCCACCCCCCTTACATCAGATGTCAAGAATCCCACACCCTCCCTAACATCACTGTGCACCCCCTTTGGGGGCAGAGCTGGAAAGCAGAGAGTGCAGGGTCTGGAGGAGGACCAGAGGAGTAATGGAGTCAGCTACCATAGTCTGCTGCATGCTGAGACCAGGGGAGGCAGAGATGAGGGGGTGCTGCAGCTGCACTGAGAGGTGCAGGATTTGGCAGAGGGGTTCTATTCTCCTCTCTGCTGCCAACTTCTGAGACAAGGTGGGGGCGGAGACAAGGGGGTACCTGCATTAGAGGTGCAAGGACCTCATGAAATGGCTTGGAGGGCCGGATTCTCTGCCCACGGGCCTTGTGTTTGACACGTGTTTGTTGGTCCACTGTTACCAGCAGTGCAAACCTAATGGTTGTGACCTTGAAATGTCATGAAATAATATGCATACTTCCTTACCAGGTCCCAGGTATCGACTCCTTACACCTTGTGCCCTCAGAGGGCCCACAATATTGTACGCTCACTGGCCACTTTATTAGGTCTATCTGTTCAATTGCTTGGTAACACAAATTGCTAATCAGCCAATCACATGGAAGCAACTCAATGCATTCAGGCATCTATACGTGGTGAAGACGACTTATTGAAGTTCCAACTGAACATCAGAATGGGGAAGAAAGGGGATTTAAGTGACTTTGAATAGGGTATGATTGTTGGTGCCAGACGGGCTGGTCTGAGTATTTAAAAAACTGCTAAGCTACTGCGAATTTTCATGCACAACCATCTTTAGGGTTTTCAGAGAAAGGTCAGAAAAAGAGAAAATATCCAACGAGCAGCAGTTGTGTGGACAAAAATGCCTTGTTGATGTCAGAGGTCAGAGGAGCATGGGCAGACTGGTTCCAGATGATAGAAAGGCAACAGTACCTCAAATAACAACTCGTTACAACCAAGGTATGCAGAATACCATCTCTGAATGCACAACACATCCAACCTTGAAGCAGATGGGCTACAGCAGCAGAAGACCACACTGGGTGCCACTCCTGTCAGCTAAGAAAAGAAAACGGAGGCTACAATTCACACAGGCTTACCAAAATTGGACAATAGAAAATTGGAAAGAACATTGCCTGGTCGGATGAGTCTGGATTTCAGCTGCGACGTTCAGATGGTAGGGTCAGAATTTGACGTAAACAACATGAAATCATGGATCCATCCTGCCTTGTATCAACGATTCAGGCTGGTGGTGGTGGTGTCATGGTGTGGCGGATCCATTCTGCCTTGTATCAACGGTTCAGGCTGGTGGTGGTGGTGTGTCATGGTGTGGCGGATCCATCCTGCCTTGTATCAATGGTTCAGGCTGATCGTGGTGGTGTCATGGTGGGGTGGATCCATCCTGTATCAGTGGTTCAGGCTGGTTGTGTATCAACTGCCTTGTATCATGCTGGGTGGTGGATCCATCCTGCCTTGTATCAACGGTTCAGGCTGGTGGTGGTCTGTCATGGTGGGGTGGGATCCATCCTGCCTTGTATCAATGGTTCAGGCTGGTGGTGGTGGTGTCATGGTGGGATGGATCCATCCTGCCTTGTATCAACGGTTCAGGCTGATGGTGGTGGTTGTCATGGTGGTGCTGTCATGGTGGGATGGATCCATCCTGCCTTGTATCAACGGTCAGGCTGGTGGTGGTGGTGGATCAATCAGTTCAGGCTGGTGGTGGTGGTGTCATTGTGGGGTGGATCCATCCTGCCTTGTATCAACGGTTGAGGCTGGTGGTGTCATTGTGGGGTGGATCCATCCTGCCTTGTATCAATGGTTCAGGCTGATGGTGGTGGTGTCATTGTGGGGTGGATCCATCCTGCCTTGTATCAATGGTTCATAGATGTGCAGCAAACAAATCTGCAGCAACTGCATGATGCCATCATGTCCATATGGACCAAAATCTCTGAGGAACATTTCCAACACCTTGTTGAATCTATGCCATGAAGGCAGTTCTGAAGGCAAAAGGGAATCCAATCCACTACTAGCAAATTGTACCTAATAAAGTGGCCGTGTGAGTGTAGGTTACACAGATTGTCCATAGTAACCTGTACAGCAAAAATGTAATGTTGCCAAATTCTTTAAATAGCAAACTGTGACAAAAAATTGCAACATATTTTTTATATTTCTGGTACATCAATTGTTGCCGCTGTCCATGGTGCTGAATCAGTGTTCCATGACCAGTTCTGAATTTTACCTTTCCCCATTTTGCCATTCTCCTTGCTTGAGGTTTTTTTTCTCCCTCTTTTAACATCTCTTTCAACATTCTGCTAAAACTTTGTGAAGTAGTAGTACTGCCTGGACCTTGAAGAAGGGGACATACCCTGAAAGCTTGTCCTCAAAATTGTATATTAGTGCAAATAAAAAAAGTATCACGGACAGTACTCAGTTGTTTTTCTGCCATTCTCCTTGGAAGCCCCTCCTGACACTCCAACCTGGTTACAGATTGCACATTTTTCTTATTATCTTCATAATTTATTCTAATGGTATTTGTCTGATGTGATACCAGCAGTGATAACCTGAGGGCTGCGACCTTGAAATGTCATGAATGAAAGTCTATACTTCCTTGCCAGGGATCCTGGAATCCATTCCTTAGACTTTTTTTTTTTCTGTGGGGGACCCACAATACTTGTAACACTGAGCGTTCACAATAACCTGCACAGAAAGCTCTGAACCCACCCAAATTCTACAAATAGTAAATTGTGACAAATAATTGCAACATTCACTGACCGGCCACTTTATTAGGTCCACCTTGCTAGTATCGGGTTGGACCCCTTTTTGCATTCAGAACTGCCTGCATCCTTCATGGCATAGACCCAACAAGGTGTTGGAAACATTCCTCAGAGATTTTGGTCCATATTGACATGAGTTACTGTTGCCTTTCTATCATCTGGAACCAGTCTGCCCATTCTCCTCTGACCTCTGACACCAACAAGGCATTTTCCTCCACACAACTGCCGCTCACTGGATATTTTCTCTTTTTCGGACCATTCTCTGTAAACCCCAGAGATGGTTGTGCGTGAAAATCCCGGTAGATGAGCAATTTTCTATACTCAGACCAGCCTGTCCAGCACCAACAACCATGCCACGTTCAAGTCACTTAACCTCCTTAGCGGTATTCCCGAGTGTAGCTCGCGGTAAAGTTTCAGTACCAAAAGCGGTAACCCCGAACTACACTCGGGCTTACCATGTGGAGTTACTCCGGGATCTGTTCTTCTCTTACCTTGTCCTGCGCTCCCGCGATGTCCCCCCTGCAGTGTCCCTGGCAATGTTCCCCCGGCGGATGCCGGCATCTGTCTTCCGGGTTCCGTTCCCTGCGATGTCAGGACGTATGGGGGACAGAACTGGCGGGAAATATGAAAATGACAAAGAGTGACATTCACTAAATACACTAAAATCATCACATAGTATTCCATTCCTGTATCAAACCATTTCACATACATTGTGTCCCGAGTGCTTTGTCCGGCGCCCTGCCTGCATTTTTACTTTTTCTGCCTGGAAAGTGAGAAACGTCTATGGCGTCCAAAAAGTGTCCCTTTACGTCAGACGCGGTTTTAGACCGGCTAGAGAACAGCGATAGTAAATCAGAACCACTTGCAGAATTGAGTGATAATGATTGGTGGGGGAAATTCCTCATCAGACACTGAAAACGATTCTGCGACTTTGCTCAGCGATGTGCGAACTTGGCGCTCTATTTCAAATTTCAGTGTTTTTGGTTTGATTACATTATTGAATTAAATGTATTATTATTATATTATTATTTTTTATGATTATTTATTAAATTATAATTTATGATTTCGTGTTTCAAATTTTATCCTACCCGGAATGTTTACTAGACTCTTGTTCGGACATATTTCAGTGAGTTATTCCTAAGCATTACAGGCCTACAATAAAAAAACGACATATTTCCATGCAAAAAAATGTACCGCTTTGAGCACAGAAATGCTGACATAATCAGACCGCTAGGGAGGTTAAAGCGATTCTAAAGGTTCTTTTTTTGGGGAGTAAATAACAAACATGTCTATACTTTCCTGCTCTGTGTAGTGGTTTTGCACAGAGCAGCCTGGATCCTCCTCTTCTCGGGTCCTCCGCAGGCTCTCCTGGCCCCTCCCTCCTGTCGGGTACCCTCACAGCAAGCAGCTTGCTATGGGGGCACCCGCTGCTCTGTATGTCCATTTACGCATAGAGCCGTGCCTTGGCT